TTATTTGTTGCTGTTTCTCTTAACAAATTATTCACTCCCTTGTCACTAGACATCCCGGGAGGTCCTTTTTCCTTATATTTTATTGTTAGGCGCGCCCCATCTCTCACCACATTCGGTTTCTGATATGTAATTCTGGACTTCTTTAAGATTGCTACAACAGTGAGAAAAGTCAAAATAGCTCCTAGTAAAAGCATAGAAGCCTCTATATTAACCTCCCACAATAGCAACATTCCCAAGCCAAAGTCCAGAAAAAACATACCTCTCCGAATTTACCACCCTGCAGTTCTGAATCCGCCCTGTAGCCAAGGGGTCTCTGCAGTGCCAGAGATGTTCACATGTTCCCGGGTTTCGGCACCAGATGTCCCACGCGCTGTATTTTCTCGCCAGCAAGAAATACACGCAGGACACTCGGATCCTTCTGCAGACAAGCTTTAATGCATAAGCTTACCAGAGTGGAGACTGAGCGGAGACACTGAACCAAGAAAACCATCCCTTATAAAGGCTGGCCAGCCGCCTGGGACGTGTTACCCTATGAATGGCTTCAGCTCCTCAGGCCAAATGAGCCACGGGATAGGCAAAGATCAAAGGAATGGAGATTACCCAGCGCCTGTGAAGTAATTTACATCTTGGTGTCTTCAGGCACCATTATTGTAATGGATAATGCAGGAACTGGCTCCCTACACTTGAAACCCAAAATTTTATGGAATAATCTGTTGTGTGTTTGTTTAATTGCTTGAGTGATCCACTGAGAGGCTTTGCTATCCTTGAATGTCAGGGATCTAAATGAAAGCTAGTTTAGACATGCTTGGATTACAAGAATGGAAGAAATAACAAAGATGGATAAAATACAGCTTCGGATATTGCAGTCATAATTCAGTGAAACATATAAAGAAAGGCCAAAGGGGATTTTCCTTTAATAGACATTTCTTGAGCAGCTACTGTAGGCTACATTTTTTGCACTGAAGCTAAAACCTGAAGCTACTGTCCTAGTGGGAATGGGGCAAGAGACTATCAACCAGTGAATCATTTGGAAAGCTTCTAAGCTTGAAACTTACTTTTGTTTTGTCTTGTTTAATTATGTATATGCCTTGCCTGGGTGAGTTTTATGTGTACCATGTGCATGCAGAAAAGTGTGGAGGTCAGAATAGGGCATCAGACTCCCTGGAACTAGAGTGATGAACATTGGAGCTGTGAGCCATGATGTGGGTAGTAGGAACCAACCCCCAGTCCTCTGTAAGTACGCTTACACTGAGCCCTAAAGCTGTATTTTCAAAGAAAAATGGAAGAAGTTGGTGAGGGTTTTTTAAAAAAGGGCAAGACATACAGGCAGAGGGAGAGTCATTGGTGTGGTTGCAGCCAAGGCTCCCCGGGGAAGTGGCAGGAGAAGATGATCTGGTCTTTGTGTACTGAAGCAGGGAGTCAGAACTTCATTCTGGAAACCATGAGAGAGGTTCAAAGAAACAGTGAGAAGGAAAGTGTTGTGACCACGTTTTCAATGTAGAAAGATGTCATGGTGAAATCTGGGAAAGTGGAGTGGGACTGTGAAGACTGTTTTAAGAAAGCACTGTACTATTTCAAACCAACAGCAAGGGTGTATACAAATAGAAGTGAGACTGCTGAGGAACAGATAAGAGCAAATACATGAAGGCAGAATCTGCACAAACTGGACGTGGCAGAGTATACCATTTTAAGAAACTATATCTTTTGCTGGGAGGTGTGCATGTCTTTAATCCCAGTGCTCAGGAGGTAGAGGCAGGTGGATCTGTGAATTCAAGGCCAGCCTAGTCTACAGAGCAAGTTACAGGACAGCCAGAGTTTCTCTGTGGCTATACAGAGAAACTCTTTCTAAAAAAAAAGGAAAGAAAGAAACTATATCTTTCTTTTAGTTTATAGTTAATTAGGTGACATTGTAGAAATGTTAAAGACCATCATCATGATGGAAAATTTTGAAGAGTTATTTGTTCTTTGGAAGACTGGAAATTATTTCAGTCTAAGACATGTTTGATAACAGCAAGGGTTCCAGCAAAGGCCTGTACAATGGAAAGCCCCTGAGTGCACTTAAGCTGTCCATACTTAGTCTTGTCTAACTACTTAAAGTGTGAGAACACTTACAGGGGATGTAGAATATGCTGATGCAAAAGCTTCATGCTTGGGTACTAAAGACACCATACTGATGATTATCAAGCACATTCCCATGAGGGAATTACATCATATAAGCATATAACATAGAAATTATAAACGATTTTGAGAAATAAAAAACTTTATTTTTTTACAAAAGTTTTCATAAGTGCATTTTGTATTTGATGTTCATGCTGTTATAACAAAGCAAACTAAAATATAATTACAGTTAAGGTACATCTATGCATATTTCAAAAGTAATATTTAATTCCTTGATTTTCAAAAATTGAAAGTAGAATAAGCAATTCTTCAAAAATAGCCATTTCCCCTCCCCATGCAATCATTGCAATGATTTAACAAGGAAAAGTAAAATGAGCGGCCAGATGAGTGCTTAAATGGCATTATTACCACCTGAAAACCTTTTTGTTGGGGACTAGATTTAGAAACACTTGCTTACATTTTCAAGTGTGCACCTCCTCTGCAGTACCACCACTAGTGTGCTCTCAATGGAGAGATTCTCACTGGGGACCTCATTCTCATGGGATTATTTGTAGATTCACAGGCAGGATTATGCAGAAAATTTAAGAGAGAACTTAAGACTATCAGGATCCTTTTTTTTTTTTTTTTTTTTTTTTTTTTTTTTTTTTTTTTTTACCATTGTGGTGTTTTGTTAAAATAAAAACTGTCAAGAAAATACAGCCAACTTATAATTGATCAGTTTTATATATGATTACTCATTCTTTTGTCCTGAGATATTAAGCAAATTTGTAAGTAGGTTATCTTCATGCAAAAAATATAATATTCCATTCTTTACATTCATTTTCTAGTATTTTGCATTTTGAATAACTGTATCACATTTGTGCTTAATACATGTAAAACAAAGAACAACTCATTTATTATGGCAGAAAACTTAATGATCATTGGTTCTTTCATGGGTAATACAATCAAATTTTAAGTGCTGATTTCAAATTGCTAAAACATTACCTGGCTGTACAACTTCCACAGTAGATTTTTTGCGCCCCCCCCCAGGATTGTGAGGAAGACAGGGTATAGCTACTTCTCAAACCACTGAGTTTGAGATCCTATTACATGGAGCTAATCCTGCATACCACACCCAGCCAGTCTTCTCTGCCACCTGGAGGGGCAGTCTCAATACTATGTATTAACACATCTTTTGTGGAAAATGGGGCAATGTATATATCTGTTTTATAGTGTTTACCCCAAATGGGTTGGTTTGTAAAACTGTGAGAATTAGTAACACGTTTGAGTGACAAATAGATAAAAAAAGTCAAACATTTAAGAACATGTTTATGATTAAGGAATCAAGTCTCTCTGGCCTGTCAACTTTAAACAGTATATGGCTCCCACTGGGATTATGAGAAGTCTTAAGGGTTTAAGAGAAACACAAACTTATTTTTCATCACCTGAGATAAGATTGGGAAATCTGAAGCAAGAAGGATTTTTACGTGGATAATATGTTGTTTCCTTTCTTTCTTGTTACAAACTTAAGTAGTGTTTCACAGAGGAGTAAGAGGACATATGATGCATTTAAGGCCCACTGTTAACTTTCTAAGCACATCTGCACCATCCCATGAGGGGTGATAGCTCTCACACAGATTGGGAAGTTCAATAGAAACACAAAATCTTTTGAGAAACAAAAAACAAACAAAGGTTGTCCATAATTAATCACATCTAACTACAATGAAGAATAAATAGGATAAGGGTAAATTTTTTAGATAATTTGTTTAAATTGTACTGTTCAAAAAATTCTGTTCAAATCAAAGTCAACTATGAGATTTTAGTCAAGTAGAAGGGCAATGGAAAACAGTTTCCTTGCCCTTAAAATAATATGACTATCTAATTCAGGTAGTGACCTTCAATTTTAATTATCAAACATGTAGTAAGTATCTAAAAAGCCAGTGCTTCTCACATGTGGCTTTGGATATGTTGTCTAGTCAGAAATGTCTTTCAAATTTAATGCACACTAGGCGTGGAGCTCAGTGGTACAGCACTTGCCTAGCAAGCACAAGTCCTTGGTTTTGATCCTTCACGCTGTGAAAGCAATTAATGTGAACAGGATTTGCTCATTTATTCAAAGTCACATGTATAGGTGCAACAATGAGTCTTCAGAGAGATTATGCCCAAGGAATGTATCCAGAGTTTGGAAACAAGAGTACTCTAATAACTACATCAATTGAAGCAGAGATCAAGACTCAACATGACTGAAACATGTGTATGATCACTGACATAGATCACCCACCAGGCCTGGACAATGATGCAGGTTCTAACTGATAGCATTCACTTACATACAGGTTTGGAGCTTCCAATAGGCCTGCATGAAGATGCAGGTTGTAACTGACAACATTCACTTAAACCAAGTTGGATTTCCTCCAGAGCTAAGGAGTTCTTGGCCTGTCACACTGATCCCATATGTATTTGGAAAGATCATGTGAATTGCACGAGTTCTCCATATACTTTCAGAGTTCTGTTCCAACAGAAGAGAAAGACTTCCCTTGGGACCTTGCCCTCCTCAGGTGCACAGACCCAAAGTGAGCTGTCCATGGTATCAAGGCTTTTAGAGACATCACAATCTCAGCACCCAGATTCAGGATGCATCTAAATATGTGGTACAATTAAGGTTTTATCATCAAACTTAGGAGCATCTAGAGATTCTAAGAATGGAATTATACCATTAGCAGGTCTTCCTCTATGTTGGACTTAAAAAGTTTTCTAGAAAAATTTTGAAGAGCTTCCATGTCATGTCATTGAAGAGTTCATTTTATTTGGAAATAGCATCTATTCCTCCTCACATTTGCCTTAATGAAAAGAAAGCAAAGTTGTTCAGAATTTCAGCCATACTGGGTTTCCAAGACATGGTATAGACATACTGAAAATGGAAAAGGAAGTGTAAGACTCTAGCAGGAACACAGGTACATGAATTGTCACCAGCCCTGAGAGATCACTGAGTTTCTTCCCCTAAGTGTTTGCCATGAATCCATTTGCTGCAGTCAACATACATTTTTTAAGCTTTGTTATGGTAAGAAGTCCATAAACACATATATACCCTATATGTAGTTTTGTATGTAGGTTCTGAATAATTTAGGGAGCTTGATGAGAAACTGTACTGAAAGACCTTTGGGAGTTGTAAAATAAACATAATGCTTTTAAAAAGAACCTATTCATTTTCATTTTTCATGAATAAAAGTAAAAATCAGAGAAAAGGCTTTTGCATCAACAAGGATGGTCATGTTAAAGGATGGGAGTCAGGTCACATGTGAACTATCGTGTCTTGTTTGGGTGTGACTTCCTACATCTTGCTTTAAGTTTTGAGTCTGATCTAACTGTGATCTTTGACAGTTATTTAATGAGGTAGTCCACATTGCCTAGACATTCACTGTATCTGGTTATTATTCCACAAATAATTAAGTACAATATATCAGTTATGTTTTTTCCTTTATGTTTAATGGAATTCTGTGAACATTGCGAATATATTACTTTTAGTGGTACACAGTTCTTGAGAAAGTGTCTTGATTTGTTTTTACATTGCCATTTGTGATATGTTTTTTAGCAGCTTGCTACAATATCATTTAATAAAAATAAAATGTACTTGGTGATGGTAGAGAAAATATTGTTAGAGACTTCTTGGGTCAGGAAAGGCTCAGTCGCAAAATCGGGTGCTCGTTCATTTTCAGCTGCGTCACTCTTGTTCCTTTGTTTCAAGAATAACTATAATATTGCTGCAAAGTTCATTGGATTGAGAAGAACCCTCCTTGAGCTTCACATGGAGATTGAGTAAAGCTCTTCTATTTGTTTTTTGAAGTACTCTCTCAGCTCGGGTCTCTTAGCCTTTAGTGTTGGTGTCAGCAAACCATTTTGAACTGAGAACATGTCAGAATGGATGTGAATAGCTTTAACCTAAAAACCAAATGCAGAATACATCTTCAATAGGAATAAAATACAGCAGTCATAGCATACGTGGTAAAAGTAAACAGGCATAACCATACTGAGTCAAAATTATATTCAAACACATTTTAGCCCATTTGATATGTCTGAAAGCCAACCTTTCCTCTTGCCACTCCCTCCCTCCCTCACTCCCTCACTCCCTCCCTCACTCACTCATCAATTCAATAGATATGAACAGGTTGCTTACCCTGCAAGTCACAAAGAATACAAGGAGGAGTCCTAAGTACCAACACCCACGTGGTGTAAGTTAGTGTTTACAGAACAGACTGAAGGATGCTGGGACATTTTAACATGATGTGCAGAGAATGACAAGCATAGACCTGAGTTAGGGAAGAGCCAGGTGTAGTCAGAGAAGATTTCACAGTCAGGTGAGTTTTTTTTTGTTTTTTTGTTTTGTTTTGTTTTGTTTTGTTTTTAAGCAGCAACAGTTGAGGCTGGGGATGTTTCTTAGCTGGTAGAGTGTTTGCCTACCATGTGTGATGCATGGCTTTGATCTCTAATATCTTATAAAACCAGGATGTGGTGTCACAAAGCCAGCACTCATGAGGTAGAGGCAGGGGAACCAGAAGTTCAAAGCCATCCTTGGCTATATATCAAGTTCAAAATCAGCTTACGATACATGAGACCCTATCTTAAATAAACAAATAGTCAAACATGGAACAGGGCAATGTGGGTGCAGGAGGGTACCACAAGCACAGTCCTCAAGGACAAAACCAGCAGTTGAGAAGAAGCAGGGTGTCTAAAGGGATAGCTAAATAGTTTCTTGTTACATAAGAAAGTCAAGTGTGGGAGGTATGAGGCTGAAGGCATAGACAGCCCAGTGGTGGAGAAGGCCAAACTTGATTTCAAGCAGAAGAGGAAAGGACTGGAGTGCAATGACACAGACAAACATGCATTGTAGAAAGAGGTCTCCAAAAGAAATTGGAAGATGGCTTTGGGAAGAGTTAAGAATGGAAGTATATGTTCCATTTGTTGGAAGCAAGACAATAGTCTGCATCAGTAGTTCTTAGCTTTCTTAATTCTGCCACCTTTTAATATAGTCCCTCATGTTATGGTGACCCCCCCAACCATACATTTTTTCATTGTTACTTATAGTCATAATTTGGCTACAGTTATGAATTGTAATATAAATGTCTGATATGCAGGAAATCTGATATGCATCCCTTGTGAAAGGGTCATTTGACCCCTGAAGGCATTGTACGCATAGGCTGAGATTCTGTTCTATACAAGGGTGGAGGCAGACACAGAGATAGGTAAGCAGTTCACAATGAATCGGAGACACAGTGACAAGATTCGATATGGAGGGAGGCTGCTGTGAGGACTCTTCAGTGTATGCTTTAGATGGCTGCCTAGGGACACCAGAATCTGTATTAAGAGTGCAAAGAGAAGGGAGTACACAATGAGGTAAAACAATTCTTTACTGCAGGCATTTTTGGTTTTCAAGACAGGAACTCATGTGGCTCAGGCTGGCCTTATTCACTATGCAGCTGAGCATCATCTAAAGCATATGATTTCCCCTTTTCTTTCTCCACCTCCTCAATGCTGAGGTGACAGTAGACATCACTACACCACTTTATGCAGCAGGGGGATAGAACCCAGAGTTCTGTGTGTGCTGGGCAAGCACTCTACCAATTGAGCCACATCCCCAGCCTATGCCATGAATTTTTGTCAGGCCTTTTAGGGTGGGCCACAAAAGGATCTGATCTAGGGCTCTCACTGCTGCCTTCCACGAGGAAGAGCCCAGGCTCCTGAGACAAAAGCTCTTTGCAAGGTGGAATGAGCACATGGAAGGATTGAGGGATGGTCTAGGATTGTCTCAGACTTTCTGTCATATTGGGCTCCAGCAGAAAGACTCCCAGGTAGTTCTCTGAGAATATTATATCTGAACTGGGGTTGAACACTGGAGTGCCACAACCTCTAAGAAATTGTGGCCTGTTAACTGGGGGCCAAATTAAGTAATTTTTGTTGTTTAATGAGTTTAATAACTCATATTATTAAAGAGTGAGTTAGACTAAACATTTTTGTAATATATACTTAAAAATTATATTAGAACGTGTATGTTAAAATACAAACACAGATTCAGGAATAGCTTAGATAATCAGTATTCACTGAATACATACAGTGTGTCAGCTACTATAGTATGCCTCAGGGATACAAAGAAAAACAAATACCTCTTACTCGCATGGAATCTACAATTCAATGAGTGATGCCAGAATTTGACATAACTACTATAGGGATGAGGGAAGGGAGAGGAATACCAGTTGCTTCTCTGATATCCATTTCCCACTTCCCCCATGTTAATAGAACCTGATTTAGTTTGGGTCCAGAATACATACCATGGTAGTCCTGTTCTCTGATTTCTCAGCTGGAGGATAGCCATGAGATCCATATTTGGTCTAAGAAAGAAAAACATTTTGCTTCCCTAATAAAAAGTCACATATGGCTACCTCCATCTCCTCTCCTCTTCCTTACTTGAATAAGAGTGGTGTTGAGAGGTGTTGCAGACACCTTGCCACCATGGAGAGAAAAGTCAACATACTAAGAGAATAGAGAGAAGTGGGAAGCCTGGAACTGTAGCTACCTGGGATCATCCATCTTTCCACTTATGAAAAGCAGGAAAATCCAGTAGAATGTGAGCCAGTTTTTTTCTGTTTGAGTTGACTACATTTCTTTCTGATACATCACATACTCCAGATTTGGCAGTATTTGAGTTGTGTTTTATTTTTATGTTTCTTTTCATTGCTATGATCAAAATGGCTGACAGAAACTATTTACAGGAAGACCAGTATCCTCTGGCTCACAGTGTCAGAGGGATTGAGTCCCTCATGGAGAAAGACAAAACACAGTGGCTCCACTGGTGACAGTGGGAATGAGGCAGCAGCTTGTTCACACAGTGGCAGACAGAAAGCAGAGAGACTTATACCAGAACCAGAGGCATTTGTGACCTTCTAAAACCACAGGGACCAACTTCTGCCAGTCAGGACTCACTTCTTAAAAGCTCCATGGCCTTCAAAACAGAATGGGAACTGAATGTTCAAAACATGGCCTTGTGAGAGACATTTCACATCAAAATCATAACAGACAAGGTTCTTTAAAAAGGGATGTTTGAACTGAACTTTGAAGAATAAGTAAGATTTAATCAGATGTGGACAGTGGGAGAGGTGGTGGTAGAGTAGGAGGCTGTGTGGCTCTAGCGTACGCTCAGGCAGAGGGGATGGTGCCCACATCTCACCAGCCAATTACAAGTGTGGGCTGGTGAATGTGCTACTTATGATACAGAAGAGTGGCAGAACTGTAAAGAGCAGTACATCTTCCTGGCATTTTTGATGGTGATTCTTGACATAGTTTTTAAATGCCAGCAAGCTGAGCCAGAATGACTCTCTGCAAAGTTGACACCTAAGATGGATCAAGGGGTTGGAGAGATGTCTCTGATATTAATAGTGCTGTGTTATAGGCAGGTGGCTACTTAGAGGTGACAAAGAATTCTTTGCTCAAAAAAACAAAACAAAACAAAAACAAACTCCATTATATCCACTGATTTTTTAATAAAAAAACCAAACCAAACTAAAACAAAACAAAACAAAAAACCCTCAACACAAAAAGAAGACCCCTCAAAATACTATACTCCTAACTTTTAAAAAAGACTTTTAGGAAATTCTGGAATTTTAACTCATATTTTAATTAAATAAATGTCAAAATTTTCAAAGTTAAGCATTGATGGGTTCATCTTTATCTCTAGGAAACTTGTGAAAATGAAGGATTAACCCTTACTTAGATAGGCTCCCTTTTCTGTCAAGTCCAGTGTTTTAAGAGATACAGGGTCTGCCAGGAGTGAAGCAAGCAGTGTGCTAAAGCTGCAGGTGTGTGGACTGCAGTTACATATTGCAAGGACTTCTATCTGGATATTCAAATTAAATAGCAGGAAATCAGAGGCTCTTAGCTGAAGATGGCTTCATACAGTGTTCCAAAATTAAGTTCCTAGGACTGGGATGTGGCTCAGTCAGTAAAGTCATTGCTTTGCAGGCATGAAGACTTGGGTTAAAGCCTCAGAACCACCCCCCCTTTTTTTTTAAAGAGGATGTGGTGTTACATGCTTGTAATCCCAGAACTGGGGACAGGAAGATTACTGGGGCTTTTTCTGGCCATCTAGTCTAGCCTAACTGGTGGGTTCCAGGCTAATGAGAGATTCCACCTCAAAGGAGGCAGATGACATTCTTGTGAATAATACCTAAGGTTGTCCGCCAACTGCTATACATATGTGGACACAATACACCCTCGAATACATAAACATACATATACATGGCATTAAAAAGTTAAGTTCCTGATATTGAAAACCCTCTCAGTATGCTTGCTACCTAAAACAGAAAAGATTTCTCAGGATAAAGACTATAAGTCTTTGTACCTTATGAAATACAGTTTCTCCCTAGTGTGTTGTTATCACACATAAAGTCCTAAGACACTTGAAGTTCTTTGAAACAGGTCCCAAGGGAGAAGCTAAAAGTACTGAGAAGGAAGAAACACACACAAGCCACTTCTCAGGTGGTATGGCATAGCATATGGGTGGGTATGAGTCAGGGACAGGAAGGTTGGGGTGGGAGAGAGACAAAGAGGTTTGTGGAGGTGGGGTGAAAGAGGGGTAGGCAGGAATGTCAGATAGTTAGGGATGGGGAAGTTAGAGAGATTTGAGCTCTGTCTCCAAACCAATAAGAGAGCACATTTTATGTAAAATGTAATGGAAGTTCTACCTTTTTAAAATTGGAAGTTACAGGGCTGGAGAGCTGGATCAGGGGTTAAAGGCACTCACTGCTCTCACACAGGACCAGGGTTTGGTTCCAGTACCTACATGGTAGCTTACAACAATCTACAATGTCAGTTACAGAGGTTCTGATGCCCTCTTCTGGCTTCCTTGGACTTTGCATGCACATGGTACACAGCCATATACATGGAAAACACTTAAACACATAAAATAAGCATGAATAATAACTTTTTAAAATCTTTTTTTCAAAGTTCAGAAATCACCATTTTGTGTTGGATATTTTTGGATTTGTCTTTTTCTTTCTTTCTTTCTTTCTTTCTTTCTTTCTTTCTTTCTTTCTTTCTTTTTTTGAGACATGGTCTTGGGTAGTGGGATGGTCTCCAACTCTCTGTATAGTGGAGGATGGCCTTGAACTCTTGATCTCCCTGCTTCCCTGTCTTGGGATAGCAGGGCTACGCCACTATATATTTTGCCCACCATTTTTTTGTTTATGAAGCTATTATGATTTTCCCAAGCAGATGCTACCAGCTCTTCTGATTTCCCAGTGGGACATGGGGAGCACTTGGGTAAGCGGGCAGGACTCTACATTCAGTCCAGGTGCCAAATATTAGAAATATAGCTGTGATGGCAGATTCCACAGAAAGTGCAGTACAGGAACCAACGATAACGTTCACAAGGAGAGCTACATGACACTTCTTAGGTGGTGTGGAAACTTCGAAGGAACAAGGTCTCAAGGGGAAGGGTTTAAAACAGGCAGATTTAGTATCTGTCAAATCAGCTCTTGGAGCACAATCGAGTGTGCTGCCCTTCCACACAGCTGTCTGCAGGAC